AAGGCAACATCAATGAAACTTGTCTCTCTATATTTTATTAAAAATAACATACAGAAAGAGTCCAAGTGTTCACTTACATTGGAGGCATCTATAGAGTGAACTGAGTCGAATTCTCTTTCAATAAACACCTGAAGGGATTCCCTGAAACTAAAAAGAACAAAATCATGTTACAATTGATGTGGGCTGTTTTATTTGTGTATTTTTCTATTTATCTATTTATCAATTGTATATATATATATATATATATAAAATTTCTTTTGATCTGTTTTTCGGTTTTTGTTTTGTTTTGTTTTTGTTTGTTTTTTTAGAGCGTGTGTTGTTGAGAGACAATACCCAGTGCGCATTACAGGAAGTTTCGTTAGATCCCTATTTGATATAATATATACTTTTATACATCTGAGTAATGGTGTTGGTCAGTGAGCACTATTTCAAATTGTCCTCTACTTTCGTCATCAAATTTGACCCACAAATTCAAAAGGACCTATTGCATTCTGCGCTCAAACAAAAGATCTGATTCAGCAATATGTAGCAGCCTTCCGATTAATTGTTTTCATCGAACGTTTACAATCGTGACCTAAAAAGGAAACACGCTTGATTTTGGGAGGATTCGACCAAATTACATGTATATCAAAATGGTAGCTTTTGCCCCTCCATGAAAGAAAACCTAGCCGCCCTCAAAATGATGTATCAAATTATGTCAAGTGGACTTTTTACAAAACTTCTGCACCAATGACCTAGCCTCTGTGATGAAGTGGGGTTGGACTAAACCAACACACCAAAAAGTATAATTCAAGACAAGTTTTACGGTTCCAGTAGCGCAAATAGATATCGTAAGTGCCGAAGATTAGAGTGTCATTACAGTGTAACAAACAAAGAAAAGTGGGAGAAAAGATAAGGATGATAATTAATGATTGGTGAGAAAGAAAGAGCAAACCAACCCAGACCACCCGCGAACCACAAACTGCCCAAAACTTAAAGAGTTGGTCTAATCACGGCTACGGCTATCCAAAGTATCCCAGCCAGTATGGGGCACCTTGGTGAAATCAGGCGCTCTTCAAAATAATGAATTTAAGGAAACCGGGGTTTTTTTCTTCTCGTAGGCAATCTTTACAGAACTTTCGTTTTTTGGCTCGACACCTTTTATGACAAAGCGGATTTCTAAGTGGATTTCTACTGAAAACGTTGATTAAAGGGGCAAAAAGGGTAAATTTTGCATTTTCCAAGGACTCTTAAGCTCTTGAATTCACCAAACTGCAGGGGCCATATTCTCGCTAATTTATCTCTGAAACCAGACGACTTCTACCCCCTTTGATGGCAAATGCAGGGTGATCCAAAAAACCCCCCAAAACGAACAAGAACAACAACAACAACAACAATAAAAACTATACACATGTTTTCGGGAAATATTTTCCTCCCCACTGAAGCTTAGGTTTCAAATTTGTACACAACATTTGGAAGTCAAAAAGAATTTGTCTGATATTCATTTTTGCTAATTTTACAGTAGGTATAGTTTTGCTCTACAGAGCACGTAAAAAGACAACCCATTTTCAGCTATGTTTCCATTTTTGTAGCATGACGCACTAGTTCGCATTTA